TTCTGTTGTTTAACCACCCAGCCTTGCCACCTTGTAACAGGAGCCCTAACAACTAGTACAATACCATGTAACAATAATAACTCAACATTAAAAACCATGGTAATATTCTTCATCTTTCTTGAGAGAAGATTTGTATCTATTTCAGGTATGTAACAGTGATGTTTTGATACATGTAGACATTGTGAAATTAGCATATCCATCACCTCCCATAGCTAAAGCATGTGTGGTGAGAACACTTAACCTCTTTCTCCTAGCTCATTTAGGATACATAGTACAGTGCTGTTAGAGTCACTGTGCTGTACTTGAAACCTCCAGAACTTACTCAGCCTGCATAACTGATGCTTCATGCCCTTTAACTAACATTTCCCAGAAACATGTGAGGGTGAATGTCTAAGTCACATTCATGTGATAGCTGAACTTCTGTTCAACAGCAATTGATTTTTCAGTAAGATATTGCTAAAGCTTTAATTACCTTAAAAGCATATTTAATTAAGATAGATCATATCTTAATAGTCATGTATTTTGTACTCATATTCCATACCTTTTGGTGACCGGAAAGGAAAAAAGTCAATAGAACAGTCTGGATACCCAAAAAAAAAAAAGAAAACTGAAAAATTATTACATTTTATCTAATTTGCAAATATATTAACAAGTTACTTTTAGAATTTAACTGAGTTTTAAATTTTAAATCTAAAGACTTGATTGTAATATGTAACAGATCAAATCTCAAGAGAGAGAAAAATGTGATTTATTAAAAATATATAATTCTTTATCAGGTAAAACTTGCATGCAAACAAATAGATTGTGTCAAATAGCCAGATTTCATACTAACTCATTCGAATTGGACTAATTGCAATTCCAAATAACTAGCAAAACAGTTAAGTGATTCTGAGTTCAGATTATACTAATGGTTCTCAAAAAAAATGCCAATTACATAATACACTATTCATCATGAGAGCTTTTGCTTCTAAAATTTATGACTGTAAAGGCATTGTGCCTACACATATGATGAATAGAACAAAGTTTATCAAGCAAATTAGAAAAACTCAATCTTTTTACTTTTGATTCTTGTTCCACATTTGTTCTTAGTGACTTCCTTTGAAATAAAAAAGTTCTTTTATATGTTGTATGATTTAAAGTAAGATGATCAATTACCATGTCATAAATTACTGGCGAAGAATCCCTTTTGTTCTCCCAAGGTCTTATTTCCAGGAAAGAGGGAGCTTGAATCAGTTCTTTGTACTGGTGCTCAGCAGAAGCGTGCCTTCTTCACCTGCCGCCACCTGCTACCCAACACTTGACTCCTTGCTGCCCATCATTTTCTCTGAGTAACAACAGCCTGAATAGATGCTCTGGGAATCAGGGACCCTGCACCCAACAGCCTGAAGAATGGCTCTCTCTTGCAGAAGCCAGGTGATATCTCAGGACAGACAAAATATTGATTTTCTTCCTACCTTCCTTTCCCAAATGCTTTGACAGTATTGGTGTGTCTTGACATTAAACCACCTCTTTTAAGGGGAGCAAAGAGAATGGCTAAAAATAGTTCATTACAAAACTTTTATCTAATATGTCATTACTCCCATTGGGAATCTTCTCCCTGCCCCATTTGAGAAATTATGTGGGGGCAAAGCTGCCTGGGCCACTAATGGGCTCGGTGACTCAGCTTAGCTAACATTTCTTGAAGTTGTAGTCCTGAGTGGTGACAAATGACCCACACAGCCTGTGGCCTTGTGGCCTCCCTAGAGCATGTCCTTCGATGTCTGAGTCCAAGGGTGGCAAAAAGCCAATCAGAACTTTACTGAAGTACTTGGTTAATCACCTGCGAGCAACCCAGCTCAAAGGCACTCATCCTCTGAGATTTAGTGTTTGGGATCTTTCGTTTCACCAGCTGATAGAGAAAAAATGACTACAGCCAAGATCAGGTAAAGCAGGAATGGCTCTTTCAGAGTGTCCTTGTTCCTGAGACAAGAATTGTCCCTGCCTGCTCTCAGTTACTTCTACTGAAAATGAAGTGTCCTCTGCCAAGGCACGTGCAGGATATTTGGATGCTGTCTCCTTTCTGTGTCCCACTGAGTCCATCTATTCTGTAACCTTCTGAGCACAGCCAATTATTTATGGAATGGGACTGGACAGAAAGTCCCTCTTGAGTGTCAAGGACATGTGAAGAGTCCTTCCCTGCAGGACACACTTTTGGCAACAGTGGAGCTCATTTACAAGATAAAATTTTTCTACTTAATTCTTGTAAATCTCAATTTCCCACCTGTAATTATAATAAAAACTTTTACCTATCAAATGCTAACTGTGTGCCAGGCTCTAGTCAAAGCCTTTTATGTGCAGCAGTCCATTTTGATTCTTGTAACAACTACATGAATTGAGATCTGTTATTGATATAAAATAGAAATAAGACACATAACCACCTTGAAAGGTTTTTTCAAGGATCATATGATGTAAGGCTTATAGAAAAAAAAAAACCGTAGGTATAGTTTATAGTGTCTTTCCTTCCTCCTTAATGATAGACTAGAAATGCAAATTTATTTTTACTAAAAAATAAATATGGGATGGTGAGCTATATATGTGTGAGGTGGGTAAATGAAACTTCTCTATGAGAAGAAAACCTTGGTAGAAATATTTGGCTAGAAAGCAAATCTGTAAACATAGCTGACAGCAACGTCTAGTGAGTTGGTGTACTCTAAGGCAAGATATACCTGTATCCTACACCTGCACTGGTTTCTTCTGCTTAGCACCCAGACCTCATGATATGCCCATTATACTATTCTTCTATTCATGCACTCAATCACCAAATATTTATCATGTCTCCACCACGTGCCAGACCTCAGCATAAGCTCTAGGCATTGATGGTGAGTATTGCACACTCTACTCATAGAGCTTCAAGACTGGTGGGGAACACAGATATCAATCAACAGGTACATGAATGAATATGTAGTTATAAGTGGAAATTCAGTAACAAGGCTGTGGTGCATATGGAAAAGGCTTCCCGAAGAAGTGGACAACCTGGGAGGTAGGACAAAAGCCAGAAGAGTGTAAACATGAGCAGTAGGAGATTGCATCATAGGATTTTGTCATATGACATCTAGGTGGAAGCCAGAGTGGAGAGTCCTAAGGAGAGAGTGAGAGAGAGGGAAACAAATGGAGACAGTAATGGAACAACAACCAAAAAAGTAAATAAATATTCAAGCTATCAGATGGTGGGAAGGGGGAAATTCACCCCTGAGAAGGAGGGTCAAAGGACAAATATAATAATTTAACTTTCTGCCATTCGGCTACTTCCTCCATAGAATAACACATAAACAAGGCAGAAGCCTCAGAATGAGAGATGCTATGTTCAGAGTAATAAAAGTTCTATTGTAAAAATTTGTCCCTTGGACAAGGCAATGGCTTTATTAAACATAATGCCTCTTGCATGTGTAATGAAATTTCACCTTTGCTTCAATTAATAATACATTTTAAAAATAATATTTCTGGACACATTGGACTAACATTGCATAATTAGGCTAAGCATACATTGTTTCAAGTTTACTATCTCTTAAAATCCTGTTACAGGAACAAATCGGTGTGCTAATGAAGTGTGCTAGCATTCTGCTTTACTGGATGATAGAGAGCACAGCATTTCACTGGCTGATTAAATTGAGAGGTGAGAGAGAAGATTAACTCTTTCAAGCTACTAGAATACTATCCTTGATTTCAGAATCAGCCACTGCTGCTGCAGCTGAATGAAACAGCATCTGCAACACTGCAAAAAGTCAAAAGAATAATGTGGGATGACATTCTACAGGTTTATCTTCCCCCGAAGCCATTTTATTACTACGCAGCTGTATGCATCTATTTTCACTGTCATGGAAAAGTCTCTCATATTCACATTAGTTGCATGAGGAAACATACAAATACTATAAATAAATATTATACTGTCACATTTATTGGAAAAGTTTAGCGCTCAGAGTGACTAAATGGCTATTTTTAATATTTAAAAAGTTAAAATGTGTCTGTACCTAACACTACAGAGAGTCATCATCATTTGAAAACCTGATTTCAGGTGTTAAATTGATCCAAACATCTGTAGAATTTTCTCTGCTACTGCTTCCCTTGATATCCTCTCTTCTGGCTACTATATATTTTTCTACAAAGAAAGTAATTAGGAAATAACAAGTCTACAAAACTCTCCAACCGTCTCTGTTGATCAGATATGGAAACCACATTCTAAGAAAATGGGTGGAAGCCAACCTGCACAGGCACGGATGCTAGGAGACTCACTGAATGGAAACAGATTACAAGCTATTCAAGTTTGCCAGCCTAGAGGCTGATCCTTTTCCCCAAAAGCTGAGCAGAAGAAAAATAACAGGGTTGTTTTGGAAGCACCGAATTACAAGACCTGGAATAAGCTGCTTCATCAGACAGACAGCTAGAAAATCCTATTTGCAAGATAGCTGCCACCAGATTTTTTTTTATGTCCAAAGTGAGACTCAATTTTGGCAAGAAAATGCACTCCTGTCAACCGAAAGAAAGAGAAATGATGTTTCTTCACTCTACCAGAAACACGATTGCCTGGATGAATGGACCACGCGAGTGGAGTCTTCCACAAGCAGAACTGGCCAGGGTGCAGTCACCATCTCTCTCCCAGCCCTGAGGGACAATCCTTTGTGACTCCCAAGGAAGTGAGTATCCAGACAAGCTGTTCGGAGGCGGGCTGCATGCACCCTGGCGGGCCAGCCCTCCCGGCGCCACCGAGGTCTGTAAGGTAATTGGGGTCCACATCTGGGCGGCCTCTGGCACCAACAAGGGAGATCCTTGGGACGCGGGCGGGCAGGTGGTGGGCAGAGCCCCTTCCCGCTGCTGTTACCTTTGCTGCCTCTTGCTGGATCCCCGCCTCCGCTCCCGCCTGGACAGCAGCCACCACCTCCACCGCCCGCACCTGCGGCTAAGCAGGCTCCTCTTTAGACAGAGCATCCTCTGGACATCCCAACGTCAAGGTCCCATCCAGGGCCATGGCTGGGGGTTTTCGGCATCCCTTTGGGACACCTGCGTTGCTTATTGTGGCTTTCTGCCTGCTTCTGAGTTGTCGCGCGCTGCGGGGACAGTTACCCTCGCCTGGGAACGAATCCCACGCGGAGCTCTACCTGCCTGCTTGGGGAGCATTTAATGGCAGCAGCCGCGTCCTGATTGCCAACTCCAGGCTCCGAGTGCCCCTGGGCCGATCGCTATGGCTCGACCCGCTGCGGGACCTGGTGATTGCAGTGCAGCTGGGGGATCGGTGCGAGGTGACAGTGCTGGATGTCCTGCCCCCGCTCCATGGCGCGCTGTCCCCGCGCCTCTTCCCCTGCGCCTTCGGGGCCCGCCAGGTCCGGTACACTCACTTGGGCTCACGCAGCCCCAGGCGCGGGCGGGTGCGGCTGCAGCTGCGCTACGATGCCCCGACTTACACGCTGGTGCTGCCCTTCACGCTGGCGGTGGACGTGGTGTTCTCCCGGCTGGAGCTGGTGACACGCACCAGGCCTTTGACTGTGTCAAAACTGCGGGGCCGGAGCCATGCCATCGACCGGCGAGTACTACACTTCGCCCACCCGAAGTCGCCAGTCGCGGCCACCAGCAGGTGCCTCCTCACCCCTCTTCCTCTCCACGACGGCCTACTGCCCAGGTACGGGCACTTGGTGGACGCCAAGGGGACCCCTCTCCCCAGGGGCAGGCGAGTAGACTGTGAAGGCTTTGTCCGGGCTGGGGTGCGCTACCAGCACACGGCCACTGCCTCCTCGCCCAACCGGGACCACGTGCCCATGATGGTGGAGCGGCTGGCGCCGGAGGACCCAGGCGCTGGGTCACTGGAGGTTCTGGTTCGCGAGTACTTCCAGCTGCTGGTGCAGATCCAGAAGGGAGCTGAGAATACAACGCCCAGGCCCAGCCTTGTGGCCCCAAGGATGCTGCAGGTCGATCAGCTCCTGCTAACAGCCCTGACTCCTGATGCACTGGCTGCGGAGGACATTGAGTCAGACCCCGACGACCTAGTCTTCAACATTCTCAACGCCCCCACAATCCCACCAGGGCACCAGAGGCAGCAGGGCTATGTGGTCAGCACTGACGACCCCTTGGGCCTTCCAGTCTCCTTCTTTACCCAGAGGGAGCTGCAGGAACTGAAAATTGCTTATCGTCCCCCTACAGAGAGCTCAGAACAGGACTGCTTCTTCCAGCTGGAACTGGAGGTGGTCGATGGAGAAGGTGCCACCTCAGACCCTTTTGCCTTCCTGGTGGTAGTGAAGTCCATGAATGCACTGACCCCTGTGGCCAGGTATAACCAAGGACTATTGCTTTTTGAAGGTCAGTCCAGCCCCCTGAATCTTCAGATCAGTGATCAAGACAACCTGGAAGAGGTGAAAATGGTTGCCATCAGTGGCTTGAGACATGGGCAGCTGGTGGTGCTTGGGGCACCTGTTGGGTGCAAGTATTTGACACCAATGGACTTGGCAGCAGGGCGAGTGGTGTACCAGCATGATGGCAGTGACACCTACAGTGATAACATCATCTTCCGGATGGAGGATGGGTACCACCAGGTGGAATTCCTCTTCCCTGTCACCATCATACCAGTGGATGATGAACCACCAATGGTCAGTGCCAACACAGGACTCTCAATGATCCAAGGGCAAGTGGTCCAGATATCCCCCTTTGTCCTGAGTGCCACAGATATTGACTCTGAAGACTCAACTATCCACTTTGTGCTGGAGGACCAACCTCTGGAAGAAAAAGAGGGAGAGACAGAGTGGGACCTGTCTCCAGGCCCCCCTTACTCAAGCCAGCACCTGGGGGATATGCTCCTGCGGCAGGCTGAAGCACCTCTGCCCCCTCTAGACAGTGACTGGCACTATGTAGAAAAAGAAGGACTTTATGAGAAGGTGGTGACTGAGTGGCTACAGAGAGACATAATAGAAAGAAGACTTTTCTTCCGCCATCTTGGACCTCACAGCCCTCAATCTGTCACTGCCCATCTGGCTTTCCATGTGCAGGATGACCACGACCCACCCAATCTATCCAACCAGAACTTCTTCACCATCAGTATCCAGCCAGTGGATATGCAGAGTCCAGAACTGTACCCAGGAACTACACTAGGAATGACTGTGAGAGACTACCAGCTCACTCACTTCCAGAAGAAATTCCTCCACTATGTTGACCAGAATTCAGATGAACAGAACCTGTGGTACACCATACTTACACTTCCAACTGACACTGACAGCAACCACCAAGTCCAGGTGGGAGAAATTGTGCTCACTGATTCACCAGACATACCCATCATGCAGTTCACCCAGGCCCAAGTAAATCATCACAAGATTGCTTATCAACCCCCACGGAAGAAGCTGGGCATTGTACCCCAAGTTGTGCAATTCACCTATCAAGTGACAGATGCTGCAGGCAACAGTGTGCCAGGCACATTCACATTATTCCTACAGCCTGTGGCCACCCAGCCTCCCGAAGTCACCAACAGAGGCCTTACTATCTCAGAAGAAGACAGCTTTATCCTCAGCAGTAATGAGCTGGATGTTACAGACCCTGACACAGACATTGACCAAATCATCTTCATTTTAGTCTGGGGTCCCCAACATGGACACTTGAGGTACTTTAGAAAATGTATGGTTCCAGGAGACTCTTTTATGCTAGCTGATATTATTAATGGGAGTGTCTCTTACCAGCATATTCAAGACCAGACTGCCAGTGATACCTTCCATCTGGAGGTAAGTGACGGGGTGCACTGTATACCCATCACTGTCCAGATTTCTGTCCAACCCGCTGTGGCTGATAAAAGTCCCAGGATCTCCATCACAGGTAGTCTGTTACTGGATTCTTCCATAAATGTACGAGAGAGTACAGCTGTTGAGATCACCACGGGTATTATACACAGCAGAAAGGATACACATGGCTTAATTCTGTGTTTCGTTGTGGAGAACAGCCCCACTTTGGGCATTATTCTGGTGAATGGTTTGCCCACAGAGCAATTCACCCAACAGGACCTCACGAGTGGGGCAGTAGTCTATGTGCACACTGGAGGTGAAGTTGGTTTCCAAAAGCAGTATGATGCTTTCAGCCTCATCCTCTACAAGGATCCTTGTCACCGGGTAGTGGGGGACAGCATAGTGGAAAGGATGCAGGTGGAAGTCACAGTACTGCCAGTAGACAATGTAGCCCCCAGGGTCTTGCCAAGGGAGTCCTTCATTGTCCCTGAAGGTGGGAAGAGCCCTTTGACTTTACAACATCTCAACATTGAAGATGTGGACACTCCCCAAGATGAAATCCTTTGCACGCTGACTAAGCAGCCAGCCTCTGGCTACCTGGAAAACATTGGACCAGCTCCAGGTTCAGAAGTGTCACGGACTGGAAGCCCCATTAGTGCCTTCTCCGTCAGGGATGTCCGAATGGGGCATATCAATTATATACAGAGTATCCACAAGGGGCTAGAGCCACAAGCAGATCAATTCACCTTTTATTGCTCTGATGGCATCAACTTCTCCCCAAATATCTTCCTCCCTATAATCATCTTGCCTATCAATGATGAGAAGCCCCAACTTTTCACTCAGGAGCTGGTGGTATTAGAGGGAATGAGCCTGGTCATAGACACTCCGCTGCTCAATGGAGCAGATGCTGACCTGCCGCCCAACGAGCTCCACTTCCAACTCACGGCCCTCCCTCGGCATGGGCAAATAGTTCGGCAGCTGGCCACAGGCAGCCAGCCCATCCGCAGCTTCACCTTACAGGAGATCCAGGAGGCCTCCTCCATTGTGTATGAGCATGATGACTCGGAGACTATGCAGGACAGCTTTGAGGTCTGGCTGAGTGATGGCAAACACACCACCCACTCAAAGGTACCCATTGTGGTGATCCCGGTAAATGACGAAGCCCCTCAGTTAACCATCAATGGTGGGCTGGAAGTAGAGACAGGGCACTCTGAGATCATCACAAATCTGACCCTCAAGGCCACGGATCTTGACTCAGATGATAAGATCCTCAGTTTCATCCTCCGCGATGGGCCTCAACAAGGGCTTTTACAAAGACTGAGAGAGCCTGGAGGTGAAGTGAGGAACAACCTGACTGTGGGGATGAACTTTACCCAGGATGAAATTGACAGAGGTCTCATCTGTTACACCCACACAGGCAAGGAAGGGATTGTTGATCTTATCAAGTTTGAAGTGACTGATGGGGTTAACTCTTTGATGGACCGTGACTTCTGTGTGACTATTGGCAGCTTAAACAGAGTCTTCCCTGAGGTAGTCAACAAAAGGGTCACCTTGAAAGAAGGTGGCAGTATGACCCTCACCACTGAACTGCTTAACACCAGTGACATCAACAGCCCTGGAGAGCAACTTCACTTTACCATCACACAGCCTCCTGGTCTGGGCCACTTGGAAAGCTCTGACCATCCTGGGTTGCCCATTGCCTCTTTCACTCAGCTTCAGTTGGCTGGGAACAAAATATCTTATGTCCACATTCCAAATGGCAAGATAAAGAAGGATCGCTTTGAGTTTAGAGTGACTGATGGACACAATCTTGTGTTCAGAACCTTCAGGATTTTCATCACAGACGTGGACAACAAGAAACCTATCTTGACCATCCGTAAACTGACACTGCAGAGAGGTCACAGCAAACTTCTCACTCCTTTGGAGTTGACAGTGGAAGATGAGGACACCCCAAATGACCTCATTCTTTTTACCATCACCCAGGCCCCTGCCCATGGAAGGGTTTTGTATAATGATGGCAATCCTGTGACTACTTTCACCAAGCAGGACCTGAATGAAGACCTCATTAGCTACCAGCATGACGGCAGTGAGACCCCTGAAGACAGTTTCTCCGTGACTGTGACAGATGGCTCTCACACTGATTTCTATGTCTTCCCAGACACTGTCCTGGAGACACGCACACCTCAGGTAATTAGGATCCAGATCAGGTCCCTCAGCAACAGACAGCCCCAGACTGCCTTTAACAAGGGTGTCCCAGCCTTGAAGCACGTTCACGCAGGACACGTTGACTTCTTCATTATCAACACATTTCCAAAGGCAGGAGAGCAGGACATTCCTCACAGACTGCAGAGGTATAAGGTAACCAGAGGACCAGAGCACGGCCTTCTCATCAACACTGGCCTTGATAAGAAGAGCACTCGTGCGTTCACACAAGGTTAGTCATGTTCTTCCCTGATCCCTCTGTCTCTGTGGACCAGATGTCTCAGGTGTCTGTAAGATTATTCTGACCCCAGACCATTTCAGTAAGATGCTGGCTCTCATCAAATACAGTGGAGTGCAAAATTATTATGAAAACCAAAAAAGGCAACAAGTCCTTTCTCAGCTATTCATCAGAATGCCCATTGAATAGGAACCCATAGAAATTTAATAAAGCATGTAATTGTACCTTAAAACTATAAAACAGTACAGCTTCAGTTTCTGAATTATTGTAAGATAAGGTTGCACTTATTCCCATAATATCAGTTTGGGTTTGAATGCTAAGAATAACATATCTAGGAACCTTTCCACAGCTTACTAAGTAGATTTTTGAAGATGATGCTTGTCTTTTTTGTTTTTTTATTGTTGCTCTGGGGGTACATTGTAGCATTTACAAAAGTTCTTACAATACATCAAATATATCATACTTGAATTCACCCCCTCCAAAGATGATGCTTGTTATCTAGAATTTAGATATAAATTATCACACTGCACATTTTAAGGGTATTATTCAAATGTAATTTCTGCATTAAGGAAAAAAAGCATAAAACTAAGTTTTCCTGAATGTGTGAAGGGCTATTTTTTAAACGTCACTTTTCTCTTATATTTGGTATTTATACTAATGATGAGATAGAGGCAGGCTCCTCTGCTTTTCTGGGTGATGTGACACCTGGTGTCTTTTGGCTGTTTTTTTACATTGTCTTACAACTTCCCTAGGTAGCTCTGTGCGTGAGATTTCCCACATATAACTTGGATGTGATCTCAGACTAAAACTTATAGAGGGTGTTTAAAAATAATTTGATTACATTTTCAGCACTGCTTCTAAAACAAATGAAATCACATATGATTCTATAATAATTGTTCTTATAAATCACCCTCCCCAAGAGCAAATTCTCTTAAAAATACTAATAATTACCAATATGAAAATGCAATTATAGATCGAAGGTGCAAAATCTTAAAAGCCCAAGAGTCTAGGTAATAGGGAAAAAAATCGTGGCTTTATTCTCTTTTTCTTTTGTCTTAGGATGTAGTAGTTTTTTTTTTGGTTTTTTTTTTTTTTGGTGGTACTGGAGTTTGAACTCAGGGCCTCATGCTTGCTAGACAGGTGCTTTACCACTTCAGCCACTCTGCCAGCCCTAGAAGTTACTCTTATTGAAATTCATTTTGACAATGAATTTAGTGAGTAACCCCCATTATGCCATACTCTGTACTAGGCAAAAAACTTAAAACAAGATAGACCAGGCTGTCTACAGTGAGTGCTGTCATAAAACATGCATAACTACAATGTCCTTGTTGCATATTGTGTGCATAGAACATACCCATAGTGGTGCTGTAAAAAAGTTCTAAAGTTTCATTTTTGCATTGTAACTTAAGTAAACAGATAGATTCATGTTCACTTCATCTTTATTTAAAATTCTACCACATTTGCCACTTCCTATGAAAAAACTGAAGTTGTTAACATCTACACTTTCTGTTGTGCCAGTATGACTGAATGTGGTGTTTGCCCTTGTTTTAAGCTGACATTGATGAGATGAGGGTCCACTATGTCTTGAATGAGGACAGCAATGCAACGAAGGATGTCTTCTACTTCTCTGTGGAACACAGTGGTAAGTCAATAATCAAACCTTAAAGGACCTATGGTGAGTTAAAATCAAAATGCAATTGAAAAAAAATCAAATGACTTATATAATCATCAAAATCAGTAATGTCATCCACAATACCAATAGATGAATTCTTTTTTAAATTTATGGTCCTATGCTCAGTGTATGCTCAAATCAATTTGGGGTGGGTGGGGGAAAGCTATAGGAATTTAATGTGAAGTGAATTACCTGATTTGACCTAGATTATAGATGACATCCTAAAATCAACTGAACCTTAACTTCAGGAGAGTCGAGGCTCTATCTAGTGGTATGCGTCATACTGAAACAAATTACAAAATCTACCTGCAGATTTCATTAGGATTTTCAGCTGCAGAACTGAAAAGTATAGCTCCCTGACCTTAGAATTTAATCTTCTTGGGGGCTGAGGATATAGCTGAATGGTGGAGTGCGTGCTTTGCATTGCAAGGACCTAGGTTCAATCCCCAGTACTATAAAAAAAAATGAAAAGAATTTAATTTTTGCTTAATCTTCTTGGATAGGGTGATAAATGTATTTACTGGAATTTAACCTTCGTGGATGGGATGGAAAATATATTTTCAGGCACAGAGGAAAATGTGCTAAAAAGCTTCCTGCTTCTGCTGCACCTTTGTCCATTCTTACCTTCTTATCTTCAAAGTCACATAATGGGCACCAACCAGTTAATATCAGTCATTTCCTTTACACAACTAGGGATATGATAATTTTGTGGTCAGAAGAAAAATCGTTCTTCAGTATGACAGGATAATAGCAGAAATTATGTCCAGGTGCTGCCTACCACTCAATAACCTCTTTAAATATAAACCATTACTCACTCCCCAGCAAGTAACAAGTGTTTTCTGCCTAAATCAATGTGCAGTCAGTCACAGGCTGATTTACTGCAAAGTCGTTCTATTTGAGAAGCCAGATGGTATCCTGAGTTTGAATCCCACCTTGCCCTGTGTGACCTTGAACAATTTACTTTGTCCCTGGTCATTCATCCTCATCTATGAAAAGGTGGCTTTCATACCTAATTCAGAGGACTGCTTTGGGGACCTGAAACCATGGAAAGCAGTCAGAGAACAGATCACTTCCTAGCTGGCAAATTAAAATAAACAGATAGGAATGATCAAACAAGGCACTAGAGCATTTGAGGATGCGTTTGTTCATAGCTGGATCTTAAAACGCTTGTGCAGAACCATTGCTAATCAAATATTCACACATTCATTTGTTCAGTGGGTTTTTAATTACCTTCTGGATGTCATCACAGAGCTAAGATCCATGCCTGTTGCTGACATGCATCCTTAGAATAGCTTCCAGCTACTGAAAAAAGGGTCCCCTTAAATCTTTAAAGTCCCCTTTGCCACCTAATACTTTCAAATTTTGTTGATGTTTCTCTTCATAGTAGCCAACTTAACATTTTTTTCTCCTTTTAAAGGAATTTCAAAATGAAATGTTTAATGATAATTACAATTTGAATTATTAGTAACTTTCATTCCTGAACTCACTTGGCATTAACAAGATACTACTAAGGTCATTTGAGCTATTTTGAGTGGACAGACTTCTAGGGATATAGTTTGCACCATTTGACTGAAGTAGAATTTGTTGTTGTTTGCAGTACCAATGTTCAAACCACTGAGAAAAGATTATGCCTTTCCTGCAATGGGAAATGGCTCACTCAGATGAGCTCAGGGGTCTTACAGGTGAAAGTACTGACAAGATGACCAGAGAGCTGCAATTTTACCAAATCTTTAAGATTGACACCATGAAGGTTTCCAGTTCACAGGGCCTGAAACCAGGCTACCTGCATCCAGATTCCAGCTCCACCCCTTAGCCTTGTGTAACTTTGAGGAACTGTCTGCTTGCCCATCTGTGAATTGGACCTTAGAGTATCACGCACCTGACAGGATTATTGTGAGGGCTTATTTCTTTTCCATTGCTCCTGTAACACATTTCCTCAACTGTAATGGCTTTAAACAATGTCATCTGTCGTTTTATAGTTCTGTAGACCAGAAGTGCAAGATGGTTCTTATCTGCTGGAGTTGAGGATTGGATAGGGCACACTTCTTCATGGAAATTCTGAGGAAGAGTGCATTTCCTAGCTCTCTCTGCCCCTGAAGGCTGCTCATTCCTCCACCCCCATAGCCCGAGGTGGCCTGTCTCTCTCATGCTACATAACTGACACTCGCCTGCCTCCCTCTCATCTATATGGACCTTTGTGATTAAATCAGGCCCACCCTAATGGTCTAGAATAATCCTCCCATCTCAAGATCCTTCATCTAATCATCTCCTCAAATGTCATTCAGAGATTCTAGAAATTTGTGGACATAATTAGGGACACATTATTCTGCATACAACAAGCACAAAAGAAATTGACACACATAAGGCACTTAGAAGAGTGCCTGGCACATAGTAATCCCTTGATAAATGTCATCTTTAGAATTATCACCTGGGGAGCTGGGAGTGTGGCTCACGTGCTAAAGTGTCTAGCAAGCACAAGACCCTGAGTTCAAATTTCAGTACTACCTTTTAAAAAAATGCCTACAATTATCAGCTGGGATACCAGATTTTGTATTTTTCTTCTTCTAACTAAAAAGAAGTCCAATAATTGATTCCTCAAAATCTGTAATGAGATTACTGGATTACATAAGGTCAGCTTTTAGACTACGGTGAATTATTTTATCACGTATTGTGTGGAAGGCTTGGGTTCTTCTCTTTTTCTCTGCCCAACTGATTTCATATTTATTGGAAGTCCCTCAAGCAGGTGAAGGAAATCACTTGCTGCTGCTCTATCTTTGATGCTGCCTGCTGAGCGAATGCACCATGAATACCTTGTTTTCTGTAGCAGCTGTGTCTTTTTCCTTTTCCTCTGTGTGTGTTAAATAAAGTAATACATACCAGATATATAGGGTAAGGCCTACCATATACCAATTGCTCACTAAATCGGAGCTCTCTTTTTCCTCTTACATGGTTAGGGGCACAATGATACTCATGTACAAAGGTTAGCCAGCGACTTAAAGGGAAATTTTGGACAATGTGACCCATTTATACATTTCATCAACTTGGTTGATTAGTTTTAACTAATCCAGACTAAGGCTTCTATTTCAGTATAAATTCTCAGTTGGTTTTTTAACACTGGAGGTAAATTTCACTATGTCAAAGGATACCATGAAAGCCACCAGTAGAACAGGAAATACATTTTAGTTTCCTAAAGCTCAAAACTGTGCCAATTAAGCATACAATCAGGTTCAATGACCTTTCTTGCCTCGGGTCATTTTACTCATAGATTCATATTATTTGTGTTAAAATTGTGCCCATCTCTATTGTATGTAACACAATATGTCTTTCTACTTACCACAATAATATTATCCTAAACTTCTATAGTACTCAATATTTCCGTAAAGTGCTTTGCATTATTCCATTAGTTTTATCCCATTTGATCCTTACCACAGATAGGAATCATTAGCTCAGATTTTAAAATGAGAAAACGCTTAAGGAACTTAAATGATACATGCAAAAGAACTCTCTAAGGGAACCAAGTGAATTCTTTTTAATAACCCATGCTGAGTAGTTAAACGCAAGGGAGATCATTTTCATTTTTTGATATATCATGGATATTTAACTTTCTTCACAAGACCAGAAACAGATTTTCAATTTTCTCTTAAATGCTTCAGTGTCTAATGCCAATTCAATTAATGTTATGCATTTTGATATTTGAATCTGACCTGGTACTTGCCTTATAACCCATAAGAATATCAATTTTCTGTTTGGATGAGCTGTCATTATCAAGCAAGGAATGAAAGTAAAGAAGTAAAAAATAAAGAAGTTTGTTTCAGGACAGTGATAGAATTAGGCCATGCAGCTAAAGTAATGTCACACTTATTTAAAACTGTAGGTCTCTAGAATGCATCTGAGAGTCCAAAAGCCAGCCAGAAATGTTGTGAGTAACCAACTTACCAAATCCAATATTTTCACTTGACTTGAAGAAGTCCTAACTTGGGGTCTGGTTATTATTATTTCAAACAATTCTAGTTTTATTGTATATTTAAAAAGTGGTGAGAAAGGCATATAAATTAGAGTTATGGAATGCAAAAGAAAAATAGAGAAAGGATCAGATAAAGAATGCAACTTCATGTGAATCCAAGAGGCACCGCAACAGCTGGACAAAATGCTCTGCATGCTTCTATAGTTCCTTAGGGTGTAGGGGAAGACTTGCTGTAATAATATGGTAAAAGTCTGTGGAGATCGAAGACGATGCCACAATAAATCTACATGTGTGAATTTGGAAAGAGGTTTACAACATGTCGTTAAATGAAGAAAGCCAAGTAGAAAGCAGTATGGAACTATGTAAGGGCACTTACATGAAACCGTGTGTGTGCTTGTGTGTGCCTGCACACAGGAAAGGTACACACCATATATAGCAAGGTGTTAAAACTGGTTTACAATGGCAATGGCACATTACAAATTGCTTTTATTTCTTTTTATTTTTTGCATTTTCTTGTGCAAATGCTTTACAAAAGCCATTCTTATTATTGGAGAAAAAGCAATTTCTATTTAAGAAAAAATAATGCTTGAATACATCACAACTAACTTGGTTCAATAATATTGATTAATATGACTAACCACATTATTCTAGCTTGTACATGCTTCAAAAATGTCTCTTTGAATAACGTGATAGATTCCAAAACCTAAAGCAAGGGGAGTAAAAGTGGACCCCTCTCAGGCAGAAGAGTATCAACAATTTTCCTTGTTGCTGACACATTCCTTCAGAAATTAAAACATGGGCTTATTTTTTCACTATAACTTGTTGTTTTAATCACACAATCCCATGTATGAAAACAAAACCACTTTGAACATGAAATAAGCAATGAAATCTCTGACACAAGAAAGTAACCACACTTCAAAAATGATTAATGAAAGGGAAAACATTTTAGAAGAAAATGAAATATGATGAATGATTTTCTTTTAATATTCTTTATTAATAAATCAGT